CAAGAATCATCTCATTGCTCGACGTTTGGTACTCGGTCTAGTTCAAGTTTTCAATAATCATCTAATAGTTTGTTCAAGTTTTCATCTTTGCCTTGAGCAATCCGGATCTTCGTAAATAGATCTGCTTTGTCTGCTGCACCTAGATCCAATGTCTCTTGATCCTTAGACAATGCATAAAGATTTAACGTCCAGATCATTCCTTTGACCTCGTCAGATTCCTTCTTGGCTGAAACATCAGCTTGTCCTTAATGTATCTGCGACCAAATTCACCTTGCTCGGATGATAAGCAATGTCCAGATCATAATCAGCCACAAATTCCATCCATCTTCGTTACCTTAGGTTTAACTCAGGGTAAGTGAAAATGTATTTGAGGCTCTTATTATCGGTGAAGATCTGCAGCTTTGCTCCCTAAAAGTATGAACGCCATAACTTTAAGGCGTATACCACTGCAATAATTTAAAAGCATGGGTCATATAGTTCCCTTCATGCTTCTTTAGTTGCCTTGAGGCATATGCAATCGACTTGCTCCTTTGCATCAGAACACAACCAAACTATGTTATAGATTCTTCTATATTGACTGCATAAGGTTCATCCGCTTCGGGCAAGGATAGTATTGGTGCACTTTGGAGCATATTCAGTTCGGAGAAGCACTTCTCACATTCCTCCAACCATTTGAATTTCACATCCTTACCAATCAATCAAGTCATGGGCTGAGCCATACTCGAAATCACTTCACAAACTTTTTGTACTACCCAACTAATTCGAGGAAGCTCCTTACTTTGGTGACATTCTTTGGTCTAGGTCATTCTTTGATATATTTGATATTCTCTGGGGCAACCAAGATTCCTTGATATGACACAAAGTATCCAAGGAATCCAATACTCCTTTGGCAAATGCTATATTTGCTAAGCGGGCAAAATGTTTTTATTCCATAATCGTTTCAGGATGGTCCTTAAATGATCTTGATGCACTTCTCGATCCTTGGAGTAATAGAGTATATCATTTATGAAGATGTTCACAAAATCATCAAGGAATTCATGGAAAATCCCATTCACATCTTCATGAATGATGTTGGTGTATTGTTACTCCGAATGGCATATGACCACGAATTCATAGTGACGATACCTCGTCGTGAATACTGCATTCCTAGCTCTATTGAAATTTGATGATACCCCTAATGCTAAGTTGATCATGGAAAACTAAGTCATCCCTCTTATTTAGTTTAGCAATTCATCTATCCGAGGCAATGGATACTTGTTTTTCACAGTAACCTAATCAATCCCCGATAGTTCATGCATAGACAAAAGCTAGCATCTTTCTTCTTAACGAATTCGACATGTGCATCCACGTGCATCCACGACAACTTAGCTTATTAACCATTTCCTAAGCAATTTTTTTGAATTGCTTTTTTAACGTAGTCATCTTTACCGAGGCCATTCGTTATAGAGCTTAAATAATAAATTTAAAAATAATTTAGGTAAATTTTAATTTAAAAATAAAAAAGATGAATTTTTTTTGTTCAAAAAGGTATTAAATATTTATTCTAAAAGTAAAAGTCATTTTTTACTTTTAATATTCTTTTAAAGTTTTATTATATATATATATAATAATGTGAGAAATGTCTTTAACCTTTTTAATAAAATATTTTTGGTCATTTTTTTTCTTGTGTTCTTCTAGTAATAAAAACATTTACTCAGTTCCCTTACAATTTTCAATTTTGTTTTAAACCCTTTTAAAAAGAACAAACGCCTTTCATATTGCATTGAGCATCAATTCCCCCATCATCCCGTCTCCTACTTCTCATCTTCTTCATCGCCAAAGGTTCAAGGCAGAGAGAGAGAGAGAGAGAGAGAAAGAGCTTTTGTTTCTTTTTCATAATCACAAGGTTTTTTGTGTTGTAATGGCGTTAGCTCTCTCCGTCACACCCACATCTTCTTCCTCTTGCGTCCCCTCTCGGAACCCTACTCCAAGTTTCAAAACCACCCATCTGAATTTCGCCTCTCCAAGGGGGATTCACGCCATTAATCCTCTCCGTAGATCCTTCCAATTCTCAATCTCAGCCGTTACCTCTTCTTCTTCCTCGCAAACCACAGAGCTCTTTCCACACAAGCTCCAGAGACTAGTAAAAGAATTCAAATCCCTGACAGAACCAATCGATAGGCTCAAATGGGTTCTACGTTACGCGAGTCTCCTCCCTCAGATGCCCGATTCCTCCCGGACCGAATCAAACCGGGTCATGGGCTGCACGGCTCGGGTCTGGCTTGACGCTGAGTTAGGTCAAGACGGGAAGATGCGGTTTTGGGCAGACAGTGACTCAGATGTGTCGAAAGGGATGTGTTCGTGTCTGATTCAGTTGCTTGATACTACTACTCCTGAAGAAGTGATGGAATTGAAGACTGAAGATTTGCTTGAGCTTAACGTTGGACTGTTGGGTGGTGAGAGATCGAGGGTTAACACGTGGCACAACGTTCTTGTGAGCATGCAGAAGAAGACACGACAGCTCGTGGCAGAGAAGGAAGGAAAACCTCCGACCTTTGAGCCGTTTCCTTCACTGCTCTTGACTTCTGATGGCATTGAGGCTAAAGGTAGCTTCGCTGAAGCTCAGGTGAGACTTTTATTTCTTTAAATTCTTAGTTTTGTTATATTTTTATTGTTTGATGTTGTAGTAAAGAAAGATATGTTTTTTTTAATTGTTTTATAAGTAGCACTGTACATTTCTCTTCTGGATTAGCTAGATCAATTTTATATTTGGAAACGATTGCGTTTTTACTACATTGTGTTGATGTTACAATGGTTTAGTTAACTAGCTTTATCTAGGCTCCGCTCATCTGCTAAGATTTGTTGTTTGTTTAACTTGAAGGCGAAATATTTGTTTCCGGAGGAGTCAAGGGTTCAAGAACTAGTCAAAGTGCTCAAGGAAAAGAAGATTGGAGTGTCTGCTCATTTCTACATGGATCCAGAAGTGCAAGGGGTTTTGACTGCTGCTCAGAAGCATTGGCCACATATCTATATATCTGATTCTCTTATCATGGCAGATGCAGCTGTCAAGATGGCTAAAGCTGGATGTCAGTACATAACAGTCCTTGGTGTTGATTTCATGTCTGAAAATGTGCGTGCCATCCTTGATCAAGCTGGTTTTGGAGAGGTTAGAGAAGATTATAGATCTCTATTTTTGTTTTTTTTTTGTGATTGCTTCTTATATAAAATTTGGTTTGTAGGTTGGAGTGTACAGAATGTCAGATGAGAGCATTGGTTGTTCACTAGCTGATGCTGCTTCTGCTCCTGCATACTTGAGTTATCTCGAAGCTGCTTCTCTTTCTCCTCCTTCGTTGCATGTTGTTTATATCAATACATCTCTGGAGACGAAAGCTTTTGCTCACGAGCTTGTACCTACCATTACTTGCACTTCATCTAATGTTGTACAGACGATTCTCCAGGTTTGTTTCAATGTTTTCTTTTAAACTCTCCTTTTCTTTTACTTCATCTTGATTTTCTAAAAGTCTCTATTGTCTCCTGCAATAGGCGTTTGCTCAAATGCCCGAGCTAAATGTTTGGTATGGTCCTGATTCTTACATGGGAGCGAACATTGTAAAGCTATTCCAGCAGATGACGTTGATGACTGATGAAGAAATCGCCAATATTCATCCTAAGCACAACCTAGACTCCATTAAATCGTTGCTCCCTCGTCTTCACTATTTCCAGGTAACTTTTGCCTTTTGTTGTTCGTGACAGTAGTCAAGTGTCAAAATACGTTTTGCTTATGTGATTGTGTTTTCAGGAAGGAACGTGCGTTGTACATCATCTTTTCGGTCACGAGGTAGTGGAGAGGATAAAGTACATGTACTGTGACGCCTTTCTTACTGCACACCTCGAGGTTCCGGGTGAAATGTTTTCATTAGCAATGGAAGCAAAGAAAAGAGACATGGGTGTTGTTGGATCCACACAAAACATACTAGACTTCATCAAGAAGAAGGTGCAGGAAGCAGTTGACCGAGATGTTGATGACCATCTCCAGTTTGTTCTAGGAACAGAGTCAGGAATGGTAACATCTATTGTCGCGGTGATCAGGAGTTTGTTAGCTTCTTCGGCTAACTCGGAAGTGAAGGTTGAAGTAGTGTTTCCGGTATCATCAGACTCGATGTCAAAAACTTCTTCCCTAGAGGTTCCAAGCTCCATAAGAGTTGGTGATGTGGTGTTACCGGTTGTACCAGGAGTAGCAGGTGGTGAAGGCTGTTCTATTCATGGTGGATGTGCTTCATGTCCGTATATGAAGGTCAGTTCTTGCTTTGTTATTATCATTCAACTGATAGAAATGGGAAAAGCTTTGAGTTTGTGATGAATAATGCAGATGAATTCGCTTAACTCGCTCTTGAAAGTATGCCAAAGTCTACCTGATGTGGAAAATGTAATCGGAGGATTCAAAGCAGAGCGATTCAAACGACAAACTCCACAAGGAAAACTTATTGCGGATGTTGGGTGTGAACCAATACTTCACATGAGGCATTTCCAAGTAAAGCAAAAACAAAAAAAAAACTTTAATTTCTTATTTGCTTTTGTGTTAATTGTCACTATATTATTGTAAACCAATTTCTCTTTTGCAGGCGAACAAGGAGCTGCCAAAGAAGCTTCTTGATCATGTCTCAAGTCGTGAGGGCAAGAGATGACCAAATTGTCCCCTTAAAAATGAAGAGAATGGGTGAGTTTACTTATCAACAAACTATAGGTTGTACGTTTGGTGGAACAAGAAGATTAAGTTCTTGCAATAAGGATTCATATGATCATAACGATTACATTTCATTTTATACAATAATATAAACAAAAGCAGAAGAAACATTCGGCTATCCATATTATAGAAGCTTAGGAGCGAGCTTATTGATAATTATTGTTATGCGTTCTTTTTGCAATGTGCTTATATTGTGGCATTATAAGTTTCTTTCATCGCCAAGAACTGAGAACTACTAACTTGAATATACATATATACTTTAGCTCTACAGAAACCACTTGATTTTAAAATATATAATGAAGTTGTGGGGTTAACAACGAAAACCAGTGTGGATGTAGACAGTCTAAATTTAGCATCCGATACGTTTGAGTATAATGCCATGCAAACTTGCATTGGGTGTTTATTGTATATCTTTTTTAAACAAATGAACATTAAAAGCCAATTATATACAAAAACACTTCATCAGACGAACACGACCAGACGTATTGAGTAATCGAACAATCAAGTCCAAGTACAGACATACCCGTTTTTATCAGCCGATGCCAATGGTTTCCCAATCCCACTCCAAGAACAACACAGTATAGGAGATGTTTGCTCCCGGAGAGTGCTCACTATACTGCCTTTGGATATGGACCAGACATGCACCGTTCCATCCGCAGATCCCGCAGCCACGTATTCATCATCTGGACTTATACACGACCGGCTCCAATTCGATGCTAATCTGTTCCCTGATGCTCTCAACGTCCCGCAAACTTCCAAAGTCCGTGTATCGAATACATTATGCACGTTGTCTCTCCCGCTCGTCAAGATCATATTTCCATTCCGGGACAATGATACAGAGGTTACAGCGGAAGAATGTCCAGCTACTTCAGACAGAAGTTTCCCAGTCTGAATATCCCATAACCTAAGATTCCCATCCATGTGGCCTGAGAATACCGTAAGGCCATCTATGCTGAGGCAGATCGCATTGCAGTTACTAGTAAAGAGTACGGTGTTAGTGCAGTAACCTTTCTGCAAATCCCAGAGTTTAATAGTACGGTCATAAGCTGCACTGACAACATGTCTGCTCGAGAACTTGCTCACATCCACAGCACAGACTTTATCTGTGTGGCCTGTGAGAGTATGACGTACCCTACCAGAGTTTACATCCCACACAAACAAATTGTTAGAGCTGCTTGCTGCGATCAGGGACTTATTGTCGTGGGTTATTGCTAGATCAAGTATATTCCCAAGGGAACCGTGTAAGCTTTTGATTAGAGACCCACTATTGGTGTCCCACATTTTTACTGCTCGGTCTTGTCCACCGGTAAACAGAGTACGAGAGTTGTACTCAAAGACTATCGAACCACAGCCACCTTCGTGAGCATGGATACGGTGGCTACATGTTGATGGAACGGTTGACTCAACAAAATGATCGGTTCCGTCTTCATTGCGTCGGACAATTCCATCAACTTGCTGCCTAGCAAGATTTTCCAAACCATTGGCCTTAAGCTTAGCTAGCATTTCTTCATAGAGAGCATTTGCCTTAGTAAGAAGGGAAAAAAAAGAATTCAGCCAAAGCTAATCAAATCAAGGAAAGGGAGCGTGGGTGGGTGAAAATAAAGTCTTCAAGTACCTCATTCAGACGTTCTGCATCCTGCATCTTCTGTAACATCCACCGATCAATTAACATTTTGTTCTCAGACTCGGCTTTTTGAGCTCTGTTTGTCATCTCCTCCAGATGAGATCGGACTTCCTTGTTTTCACTAATAAGCAAATCCAGCGTCTTGGTCTTTTCCACTACCTCTTCTTGTAATCGTGTACACTCCTCCCTACAGTGCAACCATAGTTTTAAGAACTGCACAAATTAATCCCTTACAGTCACTAGAAAAAAAAATTCTGACCTTGTTTGGCATAAGTCTTTCTCCAGGTCATTAATCAACAACTCCTTGTCTTGTAAAGAAGCCTTTGAAGATCTGGATTCAGCTACTTCAATCACCAATTGTTCAGACAATCGGGATTGCGCTTTGTAACATTGTTGTAGCTCTAATTCCAGTTTTTCTGTTTTCTCCTTCCATTCGGATCCCTGCATGAATAGAGACAAACCAGATGAGGAAATATTCCCGGATATAAAGGTAGAAACGACAAAATCTAATAAGAAGTTGAACCAAAACAGCAGGATTCAATAGGAACTGTAAGGTGTACTTTTTACGTAGAAGCAAAGCATGAATGAAACAAAATACTTATAAGTGTGTACACATGTCCGCGATACAGCAGGATAAAAGAAGAGAACCTTCTATTTCTACGTATTTGAAGGACTCAAGTAGATGTTCAACAGATGAACAGCTGAACGTGGAAAGGCAAAGTGAATAGGATAAACTCACAAAATCAAATGAAAGTAACATTCACTAGCTCAAAAATCATAAACAAGAACCTTAGTCATTCAATGTTTTAACTTATTATATGAGCATTCTGAAACTAAATAGACCTCGCCTAGAAACCATTGTTACAATTCGAGAGTCCTATACATAATTTTAAGCTAAAGGTCGAATTGCTGAAAACTGAATCAGCGGACAAAAAGAACCAAGGTACCTGAGAAATCATAGGTTTAGAGAGCGCAGAAATGGCGGGACCATGAGCTCCTTCTTCCAGAATATGGCGCTTCCGCAAGGCTCGAAAAGCGTCTTTTATGGCTTCCATTGCTTTCTCCTTCTGTGACCTGAACAAGTACCAAATCAAATCAAATCAAATCAAATCAGATCGAAATCGCAGATAAAGCGTTTAGAAGAACAAATCGAGATCCAATTAGACTTACATCTCTATCGAATCAAAAGGAGTCGTGGAGGCAGAAATTAGGGTTTGAGTAGAAGAAGGGAATGAGATTTTGATCGGATGATTTCTTAGCGACTTTTTTTTTGTCAACGTTAGCGACTTAACTTCCCCTGCCGCTTGCTTATTTCTCCAAATAAAATATATAAAAAAACATAATATTAAAAAAAAAATCGCATAAAACATCATCAAAGCTATTTACATTTTTTCACAAGCACATGAAACCTTCAAATTGATTTTACATCTAAAAACATTTAATTTGACTTACTTGTCCATCAAATAAAAATAAATATTTTGAACAGATAAATTGATGATAGGTCAAATTCTTTTTTAAAAATGTATAACTAATAAAAATTAAAAAATTAGAAAAAAGAGAAATTTAATTTCTAAAAAATTATAGAAACACTCTAATTTTGGCCTGTGATTTGACAAATGAAGAGAATTTACAAAAATGAGAAAATTCAAAATTTTGTTTTTTAATTACAAAATTATGTTTTTAAGAAAACTATTTTAAATCATCATCATCAACAACAGTAAAAATTTTGAAACTTTTATTTTCAATGAAAGATATGTTAGTTTTTGTTGAAAAGTCAAAAAAAAATTACAAAATTGTTTTTTTTTTAAACTAACATATCTGACAATGTCAATTACAAACATATCATTATTGACAATGATGATTTTAAACAGTTTTCATGAAATATATAATCTTGTAATTGTATTTATAACTATTTTGGATTATATAAATTTGTGAATTTTCTTTAATTTGTTTTTAATTTTCTGATTTTTCATTTAATTTTCCGTATTTTAGTTTATCTTATTTTTATATTTTTATTTACTTTATGAATTGTTTGAAGTTTTTGTTTAATTTCTGAATTTTTTATTTAGATTTTTGATTTTTAATATAGTTTTTTAATTTTAATTTTATTTGTTTTCTTAATTAAATAATTATTAACTGATACATCATTGTTTTTATTTGTTCAACAAATCAATATTTTATTTGATAAATAAGACAAGTCGAAGATTTTTTGTGATATATATGTCATTTTGAAGGTTTAAAGTACTAATGAAAATACTTTAATATTTAAAATGTTATTGAATACCACTTTTATGATTTTTCTGTCACTTTCTCTATTACAAACTAAAATAAAATTTTGATCCAATTGTGTGTAAATTGAAATTCAAAAATCTCTTCAAAGTTTTTAGTTAATGAATCATCTAGATTTTTCTAAAGTTGGAAAACTAGTAAATTAATCACCAATAGCCACGAAAGCTATATGCCAAATTTCGTATCTACACAAAAAGTTAGCTACAAAAAGTTACGAAGTAAATATGTGGCTATTTAAATAAGTTATGTTTTAGTTATGAAATATTAGGGTTGGTTCGCGCTACGCGCTGAATCTCGGTTTGCTTAATCGTTGTTTGATTTTGTTGTTTGTGCGTTATGACTGCTAATGAAAGTGATATTGTATGTTAATATTTTTTGTATCTAATTATGCTTGGGGTGGATGGTTTGATTGGAAGAATGAATACAGGTGGTATGTTTTATTTTGCTTCTCCGGTGGTTGTATATATTTGGTAGAGTTGGATTAGAATTTTCTTGATGTTGTTTATTTTTAGAGATGTCTAACTCATTATTTGGGGGTTAATTGGAGTTTATTTGTTTTGTGCTCGTAAGGGGTTGTATTTGGGTTTTAGTTTCTCGTTTATTTTATAGATCTTCCATGTTAAACTTGTTCAAGACAACCTAATACCAATATAACAATGTTAGGATATAAGCTGGTCTGACTTATTTTGTACGATAGATTTTGATGTATGCAACATTATTAGACCTATGTTCTGTGTGTATCATTTGTATTTTCCTTATTTGAGAATATATATTTGGCACCTTTTAGTATGCTTTCTAAATTCTTTATTGGTTCACTCCATCATAATCTATCACACTGAGAATTTCATTTACTTGTTGTATCACAAATTATATACACAATTCATATCTTAAAGTGTTTGTTTAAGCTTTATAAGAATCCAATGAGTGTATTTTGGTTCTGCTTATTTATTGGTTCTCCATGTTGTACTGGTTGTATATGGCTATTTTTTTGTATTTGGTTGGCCTTTACGATTTTCCTTAGTATTATGAGAAATGATTGTTCCAAGTTGTGGTCGTTAAGATGGTGATCTCGAGGGGTTGTCGAGGTTTCTTCACTGTGTTTGGTCATAGCTGTGGAATAGGTAAACGAAGAGCTGTTTATATGCGTTTGTTATTTATAACGATTTATAGAATGGGATATAATGAGTAGTGGAGCTGGACCTTTTTTTGTTTCAGATTATGAATCTTTGAGGTGAATAACCAAAGAATCAAAGCTGCCAATTAGAGAGTTATAGTTTTCTGCTTTTTGTTATGTTTGTGATGCATGGTCTTTTGCCTGAAGATGGCTGAGGTTGAATAGTATTAGTGGTAAGGTACGTTGCCAAATTTACTTGCGTTTGAAGGTACTATTAAATGAGTATTGTCGAAGATGTAACTAATACGACCAGCGTGTATGGAAGTCAGTCTTAGTCAGAGTATTTGTAGAAATCTGTTTTATGCATTTTGATGTTTTATTCCTCTCGTCTTTGTAAATGTTGTAAGAGTTATTGATTTCCCATGATGCTAGCTTTGTATTTGAATATGTATTTGTATAGTTCTAAGTTATGTTTTTGTATACTAAGTTATTTTTTAGTAGACCCTTATTCTTTCAAGCTACATTTAAGTGCTGCACATATGAACTAAACTACAGTGATTAAATGGCATGATATAAATATAAATTAATTAAAACTTAGATAGATTGTTTAAGTTCGTCTGGACATGTAATTGTATACTATTATGTTATTTTATGTTTTGACCACCTTTCTTAAAAGTTGAATTTGAGTGCTGCGTATATATACTGAACGTTAGCGAGTAAATGACATGAAAAAACTTGGTTTAAATTAGACAAAATTAAAAGATCATTTGACATGTATTGGTATAGTTTTATGTTATTTGATATTTGACCCTTTTTCTTCAAAGTAGAATTTGAGTGGTGAGTATTTAAACTAATCATTAGTGATTAAATTCCATGGGTAATAGATCGAGTAATTTAAACTTACACAAGTTTTGTTTATTAAAAAGAACTTAGATTTTATAAAGATTGTCGGAACAAAACATAACATACTCGGAAAGTAAAAAAACAATCTTGTAAAGAAACACTGATGCTTGAGCATTATTTAAAGAGGGAAGCTACACCCGTTGGAGGCTCATTATTGTCGGCACCACTTAGAGCTCCTGAATTTGGGATTTCTTGAAAACTACTACGACCAACAGCCACTTTAGCAGAGACTAAATTGGCACCAGGCATATCATCTTCATTTTCATGGTTTCTCGCTGGATCAATCCGAATGACTTATAATTACACACTAAAGAAGAGACAGAATGAAATATGCATCAAACATACACCAGAAACAAAATTAGGGTGTGGCATACGGTCACGTTCGTTAAAGAGCTTGAGATTGTGAAGGTTTGATGATGACTTGCTGTGAGGTTGTTGAAGCTTCTTGGTACACTTGGAGCAAAAAAACGTAACACCACACTCTGTCCATCTTGATGCGGGCGACCTTCCCGGTGCAAATGAAATCAAACTCCTACATTCTTTGAATATTTGAATCACATTCAGATTTCAAAAATGCAGGTTTAACAGATTTTAAAGCTAGTGATGGAGCAGTGATGATAACTCATTGAGCTCAGCTATGGTTACTGGTTAAACTGTTCAATCTTTGCATAGGCCCTAAGAGCTGTAGCCGATGATGTATTCCCAATGAAGATACAAAGACAAAAGTTTGATAATCATGAATTCAGGTGAAGACGAAATCATAATCAACCTATGGGTTCTAAATTTCACATTTAAAGTGGTTTACTGAATACATAAATGCAAAGGTATGATAATCGTGAGTTTAAAAGATGGAAATAGTTTAATCCTACAATGATCATGAGTTCAAAGAACAAAATAACCTTAGACTCCAGGAGAAGCACATCGACACCCACTTGCTTCCAGAATGTGAGCAGTCTCACCTCAACGGTGGAAGAGGAACATCGCCAGGCCTTCAAATCAGTAAAAAAGATTGATGAATTGGCCATTATATTGTAAATAATTTTTCGTTGGTGTTTTCACGAATGAAGAGGATGGTGTTCAAGGAATGAAAACTGACATTTTATACTTGTAGAAACACGGCCTAGCAGGGTGAGAAGCAACATTGAATGTTATATCGTGATTGAAGTTGGTTGATGTAGTTAAGAGATTTGTTAAAAGCGATAAATTAATACCTCGTAATGTTCCAGAGGATTAGAACCGTTGAAGAAACTACTCAATGGGGGAACTACAAACAGAGTTTCGACATGACGATTTGTTCACTCAAAATCCCGAAACTCCATTGTTGGCGTAGATCTTCAGAAATCGAGGAAGAAGATAAACACTGATTTTCGCTATGACTTTTTCTATCGTGTTGGATTTTAATGCTGACAAAACTTTAAACTAAAACAATAGTCCAGTACGTGTTTATGTGAAGACCATTTAGAATATATTAGGATAAGACCTGTGCAAGCACGAGGTAAAAAAATTAAGAAAATGTTTGTTTTTGAATTTTACAGATTTGTTTTTCAGTTAATAAAAGGGAAATATTAATTATTCTATCTTATAATTAAAAAATATAATTAAAAGTTTAATTTTCAGTTAATCAAATCTTTCAACACATCTACGTATTTCTTCAGATACAAATCAGTAGATAGCAAAACAAAGAGACGTCTTTACATATGTGGTAACCATGTCTTCACCTACATATATTACAACAAAACTCAGGTTAGTATATTCCTTGTTCAATTGTTAAATGTAAAAATGATATATTCAGAATATTAAATTATTTTGCATGATTAGGAATAATACACTACAAGAAAAATAAGTTTTAATAGCTGACCAGGATAGCGTTTTTTCGCTTTCTGCTATGGTTGATATATCCGTAAGTTTTAGATAGCGTTTACTTTTTTTAAAACGCTATGATAGATTGACATAATTGGAAACGCTATGATAGCGTACAT